ACATTCAGGGTGGTATGGCCGTAGACTATCTCAACTTCAAAGACAGACATTACCTCAGAGTAAAAGGCAGGGGAAAAACTTTCCAAGCAAATGGACCTAAGAAACAACCTGGTGGAGCTATCCTAATATGTAACAGAATAAACTTCAAACTAAAATTAATCAAAAGATATAGAGAAGGACATTTCATATTCATCACAGGAAAATCCATCAAGATGAAGTCTCAATTCTGAACATTTATGCAGTAGATACAAGGGCACCCACATTTGTAAAAGAAACATTACTGAAACTAAAATCACACATCAGCCCCACACAATAGTGGGAAACTTCAATACCCCACCAATGGACAGTTCTGCCAGACAGAAACTTAAAATAGAAATAAGGGAACTAACAGATGTTATGACTCAAATGGGCTTATCAGACATCTATAGAACATTCCACCCATAAAAAAGGATATACCATCTTCTCATAACCTGATGGAACCTTCTCTAAAACTGAGCACATACTTAGTCACAAAGCAAACCTCAACAGATGCAAAAAAAAAAAGGAATAAACCCCTGTATCTTATAGGATCACCATGGCTTAAATTTAGAATTCAACAACAACACAAATTAAAGAAAGCCTACAAACTCATGGAAACTGAATAATGCTCAACTGAATTACCACTAGGTCAAGGAAGAAATAAATAAAATAAAGACTTCCTAGAATTCAATTTAAATGGGGGTACAACATACCCAAACTTATGGGACACTGTGAAAGCAGTTCATAGCACTAAGTACCCACCTAAAGAATTTGGGGAAATCTCACACTAGTGACTTAACAGCACACCTGAAAGCTCTAGAACAAAAAGAAGCAAACTCACCCAGGAGGAGTAGACACCAGGAAATAATCAAATTGAGGGCTGAAACAAACAAGATAGAAACAAAGAAAACAATACAAAGAATCAATGAGACAAAGAGTTGGTTCTTCGAGAAAGTCAACAAGATAGACAAATCTTTATTCAAACTAACCAAAAGGCTGAGAGAATATATATATTAACAAAATCAGAAATGAAAAGGGGGACATAACAACAGACACTGAGGAAATCCAGGTCATACTTTAAAACATGTACTCAACAAAATTGTAAAATATAAAAGAAATGAACAATTTTCTGGATGGGTACCACATACAAAAATTAAATCAAGACAAGATAAACAACTTAAACAGCCTATAACCCCTAAGAAATAGAAGCTGTCATTAAAAGTCTCCCAACCAATAAAATCCCAGGACCAGATGGCTTCATTGCAGAATTCTATCAGAATTTCAAAGAAGAGCTAATAATGATACTCCTCAAATTGTTCCAAACAGTAGAATCAGAAGGAACATTGCCAAATTCTTTTAATGAGGCTGCACAAAAATATACAAGAAAGAAAGAGCTACAATCCAATCACCTTCATGAACATTGATGCAAAATACTCAATAAGATAGCGGCAAATCGAATCCAAGAACACATCCAAAAAAAAATCACCCACCATGATCAACTAGGCTTCATCCCAGGGATGCAAGGATGGCTCAACATACGAAAGTCTGTCATTGTAATCCACCATATAAACAAACTGAAAAAGAAAAAGATCATCTCATTAGATGCTGAAAAAGCCTTCAAGAAAACCCACCATCCCTTGATGATAAAGGTCTTGGAGAGATAAGGGATACAAAGAACATACCTAAACATAATAAAGGCAATAAACAGCAAACCGACAGCCAACATCAAATTAAATGTAGAAAAACTCAAGACAATTCCACTAAAATCAGAACAAGACAAGGCTGTCCACTCTTTCCATATCCATTCAATATAGTACTCGAAGCTCTAGCTAGAGCAATAACACAACAAAAGGAGATCAAGTGGATACAAGTTGGAAAGGAAAAAGTCACCCTTTCACTATTTGTAGATGTTATGATAGTATACAAAAGTGACTCCAAGAATTCTATCAGGGAACTCCTACAGCTGATAAATACCTTCAGTAAAGTGGCAGGATACAAGATTAACTCAAAAAATTCAGTAGCCCTCCTATATATAAATGATAAAAGGGCTGAGAAAGAAATCAGAGAAACATCACCCCTCATAATAGTCACAAATAATATAAAATATCTTGGGGTAACTGTAGCCAAATAAGTGAAAGACCTGTATGAAAAGAACTTTAAGTCTTTGAAGAAAGAAACTGAAGAGGATATCAGAAAATGGGAAGATTCCCTATGCTCTTGAATAGGTAGGGTCCACATAGTAAAAATGGCAATCTTACCAAAAGCAATCTACATATGAATGCAAGCCCAGTAAAAATCCCAACACAATTCTTCACAGACTTTGAAACAATACTACTCAACTTCATATGGAAAAACAAAAAACCTAGAATAGCTAAAAAACAAAACAAAACAAAATCCTATACAATAAAGGATCTTCTGGAGGCATCACCATCCCTGACTTCAAGCTCTACTATAGAGTCCTACTCATAAAAACAGCTTGGTATTGGCATAAAAACAGACACATGAACCAATGGAATCAAACTGAAGACCCTGACATTAACCCACATACCTATAAATACCAGATTGTTGACAAGAAGCCCAAACCGTACAATGGAAAAAAGACTAAGCATTTTGCCTGAATGCTGACAGCCACATGTGTGGCTGTGGAACCCTGGAAATGTTGGAAATGATAACAGAAAGCACCTTCAACAAATGGTGTTAGAATAACTGGATGTCAACATGTAGAAGATTGCAAATAGATCCACATCTATCCTCATACACAGAACTCAAGCCAACGTGGATCAAGGACCTCAACATAAATCTAGAACCTCTTAGAAGAGAAAGTGGGAAGTGGCCTTGAACACATTGGCACAGGAGACCACTTCCTGAACATTACACCAGTAGCCAGACACTGAGAACAACGATCAATAAATGGGACCTCCTGAAACTGAAAAGCTTCTGTAAGGCAAAGGACATGGTAAGACAAAAGGCCAACCAGAGAAACTAGACACCAAAATACCCAATAATCCAATTAAAAACAGATTTAAACAGAGAATTCTCAACAGAAGAATTTCAAATGACCAAAAGATAAAGAATTGTTTGCTCAACATCCTTAGTCATCAGGGAAATTCAAATCAAATGACTGAGATACCATCTTACACCTGTCAGAATGGCTAAGATCAAAAACACATGACAGCTCATGCTGGAAAGGATGTGGAGTCAAGGGAACACTCCTTCACTGCTCGTGAGAGTAAAAACTTGTACAGCCACTTTAGAAATCAGTATGGCGGTTTCTAAGACAATTGGCAATCAATCTGCCTCAAGACCCAGAGATACCACTGTTGGGCACATACCCAAAGGATGCTCAATCATACCACAAAGACATTTGCTCAACAATGTTCATAGCAGCATTATTTGTAGTAGCCAGAACTTGGAAACACCCTAGATGACCCTCAACTGAAGAATGAAAATGTGGTACATTTACACAATGGAGCATTACTCAGCTGTGAAAGAAAGAAAGAAAGAAAGAAAGAAAGAAAGAAAGAAAGAAAGAAAGAAAGAAAGAAAGAAGAAACAATGACATCATGAAATCTGCAGCCAAATGGATAGAACTAGAAAAAAAATTGAGATAACCCAGACCCAGAAAGACAAACATGGTATTACTCACTCATAAGTGGATATTAGATGTAAAGCAAAGGACAACCAGACTACAATCCACAGCTCCAGAAAAGCTAGGTAACAAGGAAGACCCTAAGAGGGACACATTGATCACCCTGGGAAGGGGAAACAGATGAGCACTCTTGGGTTATCTGGGGAGGGGGGCATTAGGGGGTAGGGGTTGGGGGATGAGAACATGTGGGAAAGGGATGATGGGGGAGTTGGGGGCGGGGGGGGGGGGAGGG